TAGTAAAACTGAGAATATTATCATTTTTTTCTCAATTTTTAAAACTAAAAATATTATCAATTTTGCATACTAATGTTCCAGATAATTTCACTAATTGTTCTATTTAGTTTAATTACCTAAAAATCCTATTTACAAATGTTATGGTACCTCAGGTCTTATCTAAGATTTTTTGAACCAATAAATCCTATTAGTAAAACTGATAATATTATCATTTTTTTCTCAATTTTTAAAACTAAAAATATTATCAATTTTGCATACTAATGTTCCAGATAATTTCACTAATTGTTCTATTTAGTTTTACTAATTGTAAATCCTATTTACAAATGTTATGGTACCTCAGGTCTTATCTAAGATTTTTTGAACCAATAAATCCTATTAGTAAAACTGAGAATATTATCATTTTTTTCTCAATTTTTAAAGGGAGCTTTTTTGATAAATTCATTTTCTAAGAGTTTTATTCCATCCAACCCATATTCTTTTTGACTATTCCATTAGGTCCAATTTGAGATAAGAAGACTAAAATACCCTTTTCATCTACTTATGTTCCATTTAGTTCACATTATTTTCTTATATTTCAATAAGTCCTATGGGTGACATAATTACCAAAATACCCTTAATGTGAATATTCACACCGTCAATGTGAATGCTCATATCGTCAATGTGTAGGGGCTCGGCCCATGTCGATCATCGTGGGTGCCCGGAAAAATTCGAGCCGGGCCGGGCCGGCTCACAGGCCAAAAAAATAGGCCCGGCCCGACCCGTTGATAATGTGAATATTCACATTGACAAGTTAACATTCATATTGATAGGAGTGTAAAATTGGCCCGCGGCCTGTGGGCGGCCCGAAGCCAGCCCACCGCCCGGGGCGGGCCCGGGCCGGCCCGTTCATAATGTGAATATTCACATCGACATATTAACATTAACATTGATAAGAGTGTAAAATTAGCCCGTGACCCGTGGGCAGCCCGAAGCCTGGACCCGGCCCCTTGACAATGTGAATATTCACATTGACATGTTAACATTCACATTGATAGGAGAGTAAAATTAGCCTGCGGCCTGTGGCCGGCTCGAAACCCGTCCGCGGCTCGTGGGCTGCCCTAGGCGGGCCCGGCCAGACCCGTTGATAATATGAATATTCACATTGACATGTTAACATTCACATTGATAAGAGTATAAAATTAGCCCGCGCCCCGTGACTGCCCAAAACCAGCCCAAAGCTCGTGGACGGCCCGGGGCGGGCCCGGCCCGGCCTGTTGCCAATGTGAATATTCACATTGATATATTAACATTCATATTGATAAGATTGTAAAATTGACTCGAGTCCCATGGACGCCCTGAAGCCCATGGGCAGTCCGGGGAGAGCCTGGCCCGGGCCATTGACAATGTGAATATTCACATTGACATATTAACATTTACATTGATAAGAGTGTAAAATTGGCCCGTGGCCGACCCGAAGCCCACCCGCTGCCCAGGGCGGGCCCGGCCCGTTGACAATGTGAATATTCACATTGACATATTAACATTAACATTGATAACAATGTAAAATTGGCCCGTGACCCGTGGGCCGCCCGAAGCCCGGCCCCGGTCCGTTGACAACGTGAATATTCGCATTGATATGTTAACATTCACATTGATAAAAGTGTAACATTAACCCGTGCCCCGTGGCTGCCCGAAACCCGCTTACGGCCCGTGGGTTACACGAGGCGGGCCCGGTCTATTGGCAATGTCAATATTCATATTGACATGTTAACATTCACATTGATAAGAGTGTAAAATTGACTCGCGTCCCATGGCCGGCCCGGGAAGGCCCGGGTTTGGGTCCGGGCCTATCCCGGGTCGCGGGCAAGCTTCGGGCAGCGGACAAATTTTATACTCCTATCAATGTTAATGTTAACATGTCAATGTGAATATTCACATTGTCACGGGTCGGGCCAAGCCGGCCTCGGGCTGCGATCTAGCTTCGGGCCGTCCACGGGCTGCAGGCCAATTTTACACTCCTATCCATGTGAATGTTAACATATCAATGTGAATATTCACATTGCCAACGAGCCGGACCTGCCCCGACCTGAGGTTGAGCTTCGGGCTGCCCACGGGTCACGGGCCAATTTTACACTCTTATCAATGTGAATGTTAACATGTCAATGTGAATATTCACATTGTCAACATGCCGAGTAGAGCCCGCCCTGGGCCGCCGACTGGCCGTGAGCCTGTTTCGGGCAGCCACGGGACGCGGGCTAATTTTACACTCCTATCAATGAGAATGTTAACATGTCAATGTGAATATTCACATTGTCATGAGTCGGCCCAAGCCCGCCTCAGGCTTCGGTCGGGCTTCGGGCTGCCCACGGGCTGCGGGCCAATTTTATACTCTTATCAATGTGAATGTTAACATGTCAATGTGAATATTCACACTGTCAACCGCCCGGGCCGCGGGTGGGCTTTTGGCCGCCCATGGGCCGCAGCCTAATTTTGTACTCTTATCAATGTGAATGTTAACATGTCAATGTGAATATTCATATTGTCAACGGGCTGGACCGGGCCTGCCCCGGGCCGCCCATAGGCTGCGGGCGGGTTTCGCGCCGCCACAGGACGGGGACCAATTTTACACTCCTATTAATGTGAATGTTAACATGTCAATGTGAATATTCACATTGTCAACGGGCCGGGCCGGGCCGGGTCAGGGCCGCCCTGGGCTGCTGGCCAATTTTATACTCTTATCAATGTGAATGTTAACATGTCAATGTGAATATTCACATTGTCAACAGGCTGGGTCGGGCTCGCCTCGGGCCCTCTACGGGCCATGGGTGGGTTTCGAGCAGCCACGAAGCGCGGGCTAATTTTACACTCCTATCAATGTGAATGTTAACATGTCAATGTGAATATTCACATTGTCAACGAGCTGGGCCAGGCCCTCCCCGGGTCGTGGGCAGGCTTTTGACTGCCCATGGGCCGCGGGCCAATTTTATACTCTTATCAATGTGAATATTAACATGCCAATGTGAATATTCACATTGTCAATAGGTCGGACCGGGGCCCCGCCCGGGCCGCCCATGGGCCGCGAGCGGGTTTCACATCGCCACGGGACGCGGGCCAATTTTACACTTCTATTAATGTGAATGTTAATATGTCAATGTGAATATTCACATTGTCAACGGCCCGGGCCCGCCCCGGTTCTCGAGCGGGTTTCGAGCCGCCCACGGGTTAATTTTACATTCCTACCAATGTGAATTTAAAAATATGAATGTTCACATCATTAAATTGCTAATCGTTCAAAAAATATTTATAAATGTATCAAAATTAAATATAAGGGCATAAGTGTCCAAGAAAATAGTGTAAATCAAGAAAATGGACTTTATGGAATAAAACTATACATACATGGGACTAAATGGGTTAAATAATTCCTTCATGGACTTCTTGAGTTAAAACACTTCTAAATTGGACTTATCAATAAAAATTCTATTTTTAAAACTAAAAATATTATCAATTTTGCATAATAATGTTCCAGATAATTTCACTAATTGTTCTAGGTAATGTTCCAGAAAATCATTTTATTTTTTTTCTCACAAAAAAGTAGAAAAATAAAAAAAAAAATTCCAAAATGAAACTAATTTAACCAAGTTAAATTAAGAGTTAATTACCTTAAAATCCTATTTACAAATGTTATGAGGAATGTTATGATACCTCATGTCCAATCTAAGATTTTTTTCAACCAATAAATCCTATTATTAAAATTGAGAATATTATCATTTTTTTCTCAATTTTTAAAACCAAGAATATTATCAATTTTGTATAGTAATATTTCAGATAATTATTTCACTAACTAATGAAAAAAACAGAGGATGAGATTAAATGTTTTTGTCATTCTACTTATTGGTTTGATTCAACTATCCAATAAAATCAAGAAGATTATCAATTTTTTCATTTTTACAATTTTTTTTTTCAATTTTGCACATAAGTGTTCCATTATCATACTCTTTTATAGACATAAATTTTTTAATTTTACACAAAAAAATAATTCAGTTTTTCAATTTGTTTTTGGTTTTTCAAAAATATTTTTCAGAAAATTCTACTTTCTTATTTTTCATTTTTTTTTGTTTTTACTGAATTTTTTTAATATTTTAACCAATTTTTTTAATTTTTAAACACACTTAACATAAATACACATACAAAGTACAATTTTTGTGATTTTTTTTTTTAAAAAATCACTAAATACCAAAAATATATTAAAAAATACTAAAATTAGTATATTTTCGTATTTTTATGTATTTATTAATTTTTAAAAATATTTTTTCACATATTTTTTACTTTTTAAATACATCTAAATAAAGTATATCTAAAAAAGTAAAAAAATACTTAAAATTTTAAAAATATTCACTAAAAGCAAAAAAAAAAAATGAAAGATAAAAAACTTAATTCAAAAAACTCAAACCAAACACATACATTAGTTTTTTTTTTTTTTTGGCATATAAATTTTTTCTTTAAGTTTTTTCAATTTAAAAGTTGATAGTTTAAAATTTTAAAAATTAAAATAAATGTTAAATCATCAGGTTTCTTTATATATAATCATAAATGATGGAAAATATAGGATGAAAAACATCTAATGTTCATCAGATTTCAATAAATTTTGAATTTATAGAATGAAACATCAGATCATTTACATCATTCACATCATGTTGATGTAAAAATGAGACTAAATGGAGCATAAGAAAACTTTTAGGATTAAATAGTTTAACGTTTCAAAAACTAAGACTTATGGGTAAATTTTCTAACTATTTTTTGAAAGATAATTTCAACTATTAAAAATTTAATACGACCTAAAGATTTAAAAAATCTTAATTAAAATTTAGTAAAATATAAATTCATAAATTAAAAATTATATATAAATGTGCCTTCAATTAATCATAAAATCAAAAAATCAAACAAAAAAAAATTGTTTCCAAACAACACTGCCGTTGAAGTCGGCTTTAATTAGGAAAACATGACGTGTAATAGCTGTGGAGGGTTCTAGACTCGATTCGGGTCGGGGGTAGAGGTCGGTTAAACGGTGCAGGCTCAAAACGAGGAGCCCCAACTCTCTCTCTCTCTCTCTCTCTGGTTTCAGCATTTGGCATTTCTTGTTAGTTCATCATCATCTGCAACAACAAAACATACACACCTACACGCATATACGCTGAGAGATGGATCCAGAAACAGCGCTAGGGTTTGTAAAGCACGGCGCTACTCTTCTCCTCCTCGACGTCCCTCCACACACCCTTGTCGGCATTGATACTCAGGTTTCAAACTAATTATAACAAAATTCCGTTTGGCTTCCGAGAAAGTTAAAACACTATGAAATCAAACTTGCTTGTTTCCTCTATGTAATTGTTCAATTTTCATTTTTGCAGATGTTCTCTGTGGGCCCTGCTTTCAAGGGTATCAAGATGATTCCTCCCGGTCCTCATTTTCTCTATTATAGTCCTTCCAACAGGTTTTTTTTGTTTTTAACTTCATTTTTCACTTCTATGAATATATATTTTCCTATATATTAAAAACTTATGGGCTTTTACGTGCAGAGAAGGAAATGAGTTCTCACCAATAATCGGCTTCTTTGTGGACGCCAGCCCCTCAGAGGTTTTGATAACAATTATTAGTTTCTTCATTTTCATTTTCAACTCACAACAAGTTGCTTCACATATATTTTATTTTGATTTGAAATTGTTTAATGCGTGGCATGTTAAATTAGTGTCTTCATTATTCTAGACCATCCATTTTATACACACTGGGGATTTATTGGGAAAATATGGTTGTTGGTTCTCCTACTTGGGTTGGGAAGTTGTTCCTTTGATGTGGCTAGTCAGGGACTAATGTGAAATTAAATGGCGACCCATGAAGAGAAAAAATCTGAATTGTCACTTACTAATATATGGATGTTACAATTTTACAGATTTATATAACAACTTTTATGTGTTGAAACGAGTCCCAAATTATTTGTGGCACCGAGTAATTTGGGGGGGTTATATGGTTGAAGTAAATCAGTTTGTGATCATCTCATTTGTTTTAGACTCTTTCCACTTTGGAGTGAAATTTGAAGAACTGGAGCAGATGCTGCAATGTGAGTGTCAATTTTGAACTTAAAGATATGGGAACAACTGGAATTGCTATTTACGGATCACTGTCTGGTTCAGATTGGGAGCTGCTTTGAGCAGTTGTACATTGCTCCCAAAGCAGCCATGTTTGCTGTGGTAATAGGTGCAGCCATGTTTGCTGTGGTAATAGGTGCAGCCAAGTCAAAATTTGAGTTGCATCCTGTTCCAGTTTCAAGTTCCAAGTGATTGTGGAATGTTGTCACAGAATTAACACAAAGGAGATAGATTTGATTTAAGTACTACACAAATAGTGCATGTTTTCATTTAGTGATTCTCAATAGATATAAATTATGAGTTAAGACTCTATGTGAGCTGGTGCATTGTCATTTTGCAGTGCAGTTTTTGCTATCAAGGCAAACTGGGATGATACAATTGAGTATGGTTGTGGGGGTGTTTGGGAACTTGGTTTTTGAGTTTTTTTTTTTGTTTTTTTTCACTACAAGACAAATGTTTTACAAAACCAAAAATAAATAAATCCAAACAAAATATCACATCAAATCCCATAATTATTTCACTTTTTCTCTCACAAATATCACATCCAACCACAAAAAAAAATCCAAATATCTTCCCAAACACAAAGGGTGTGTTTGGTTTGTGTTTATAGAGTAGTTTTTGAGATAAAAAGTACAAAAACTTGTTTGGTTTGCCTTTTTTCGGAAATTGTTTTGAAAAATTGTTTTGGGGAGAGAGTTTTAAAAAAAGTGATTGATTTGATGTGTATGAGAGAGAGTGATTTTGGAAAGTAGCTAACCAAACAAAATTTTGAGATTTTTTTAAAAAAAATTTGTTTGGTTTGATTGTTTTTGAAAATTTGTTTGTAGAGAATTTTTCCAAAATTTTTTCTGAAAAACAAACCAAACCTTCTCCAATAATATACTACAACTAAAAAAACTTACAAAAAAATTCACTTCCCAAACACCCACTGTGTTATCTAAATAAACCATGATTAGACTACATTACAACAATTACGTCATATGTAAAGCTGTTCAATATAATTTTTTCAAAGTCACTTTCTTCCACTTGTTACTGTTGTCAATAGCTTTACAAAAATAAATTGGTTGTTCTATCATATCAAGTTAGGTGTGCCAGACTAATCTGCCGCCTATGTTGTTGCAATTAACAGGTGATTGTCCGTCAATGGGATCAACAAGAGGAACGACTTGTCAAACTATCAGAAGATGAGGTCTGTAACAGAATAATTTATGCTTTATTATGAATTGAATTCCATGGGTTGGGATGCATAGCTTCAAAGCTTGAATGATGCCACCAATCTGATCATTGTTGTCAATTCTCAAATCAAATTGTGAATCTTATCGAATCATGATTTGTAAGATTAATTTTATTTAATATAATATATAATTTTATATATGTATATACATATAAAAATACACATATTTAAAACAAAACAAATATCATTATAACTAAATTATGTATATGTATATACATATAAAACCACGTATATCAATATATTTAATAATTGAATTATTATTAGTATTATTTTGGTGATAGATAGGTGAAAATTATGTCATTTCATGCATTATGCAAACAAAAACAGAAATAAAACCGAATCATAGTGAATTGCACTATTCATTTCAATTTTCTATTCAACAGCACAATTCAAATTGAATCGAATAGTAGTGAATCATGAGAAGAGTGTATTGAACTTCAACTAAGCTGCTCATTGTAGGTGTCTATACAATGCATTTTTCTTGAAACTGAAAACACTGTTTTCTTTAACATTGGATACCATTTAGCTAATTTATATTCATTCTATCTTTTACCAAAGGAAGAGAGATATTCTCAAGCAGTAAAAAGCTTGGAGTTTGACAGGCAACTGGGCCCTTATACACTAAGTCAGTATGGTGATTGGAAGCGGTTGTCCAACTATATTACAAAGAGCACTATTGAATGCATTGGTAAGCACTGTTTAGTTACTTGGAAGGTCTACATAGTTAATTATTGTTTTCTTGTCTAGTTGGGTTGCTCTTTCGATTTTTTTTTTTATATTTTATAAGTGGCTCTTTTGGAGCAGCTTTTCAGGGGAGAAAATATGTATGTTGTTTGCTTAAGGTGGGTATAAGGTTACAATACTGAATTTGGGATATAGGGAACCCTTGCTGTCTCTTTGGCAGTGTGATGTTTGCATTTGTGTGTGTTCCCATGTGCGTAGATTTCGTTTTGGTTCACCTTTTATCAGTTCCCCTTCGCTTTTATTGGTTATTTAGAATTTGGTAGATAAAATAAAAGGAACTAGTCCATTCATAAGCAGAACAAGGTAAAAGAAGGCTAGGTAGAGGAAGAGTACTTTATAGATATCAGTGTTGCTATCAAAGTTCGGGAGATCTTCATTGGGAATTTCAGGTTAGAAATTGTCCCAACCTTTGACGAGGTTGGTGAAAGAGTTTGTCAAGGCAACCTGGAACATATATGCTACTCCTTTGATTTCAACTCCTTTCCAACATTGAAGGCATTGTGTTGTATATTATTAAGGGGTTGTTTGGGAAGTGCTAGATTAGTATACTTTTTGACTTTTTACGAAGAAACATGAAATATGGGTTGGGTTTAAAGTGATGTGGTAGAGAGGTGATGTGACTTAAATAAGATGATTGTGACCTAAATAGGATAATGTGCTAAAATAGCAAGCAACCACTAAGGTAAAATGTACTTTTCAATTAAGTTTAAATAGTTTAATTTCAAATTATTATAAGAGGTCAAGAGTTTGGTCTTCTTAACTGATAAGATAATTTGTAATTATTGTCGAGGTTTGCAAATAAAAGGCACAAGTCTGAGGTTATACCTGAACTTTATTGTCAACAATTTTGTGAATGTATTAGTTAGACATTGTAACTCTTCATGTTGGTTGACAACGATTAAAGGAATACATTGTGGTGGTGGTAGTGTTGGTAACATGGACGACTTTGATGTGCAGTATATGTCAATGTAGAATTGATTGTCACATTACATTATAGGATGAGAACATGTTAGTTTCTCTACGTAACTTATTACCCTAAAAATTTTGGAATAAACTACCAATAGGTCCTAATAGTTAGACTTTTCCATTAAGTCCTATTGAAATTAGTCTTATTAAAAGTGTTGCTAAAAATAATTTTTTGCGACGATTTTTTGTATATGTTGCTAAAAATTAACAATTAGTAACTTTATTTTGTCACGATTTTTATAAATTGTATTTGTCGCTAAACTTACAATTAGTGACGTTTTTCTATGACGAATTTTCAAATTGTCGTTGAAAGTTGAAAATTAGTGACTTTTTTTGTAACAATTTTTTTAATTGTCGCTAAAACTTATATTTAGTGACTTTTTTGTGACAAAATTTTTAAACTATCGCTAAAAATTAACAATTAGTGACGTTTTTTTAATAATGTTTAATGAAAAATGCCATTAATTATCACATGATCTATTGGATAATAAGTCCACCTATTAGGACCTATACGTAAGTTTCCCAAAATTTTGCTTCAAGTTTACGAATTATCTAGTCCTGATTGTAACAACTACTTGATGGGGATCTGAAACCATTACACCACTCGATCAGAATAATTTTTTTGCCATTAAAGGAGAGTGCTTCTGTATATTGACTAGCATGGACATTTGAAATCAAGCATTTTGCTTCAATCAGCAGATTCTCATTCTTGGTGATGGCAGGTTTATGGCTGTTAATTTAGAGACACTTAAAAAAAAGTATTCACACAAGTATTTGTTTCTCCAAAAAAAAGTTGTTCCTGTAAATTTGGTGATCGTAATGGATACCACTTGAATTACCAAGACTTTCAATGTTTTTCTGAGACTAAACTGTAGATTACCTTTTGCTTAAATGATTCTCTGCCCAGTTATTGTAGCAAAATTCGGACAGATTTTATTGTTTTCAGTGTGTTTGTTCTTTTTACAGAACCCATCGGAGGAGAAATTACAGTTGCGTGTGAATCTGAGATTGTTGCAAACATTCCTAGCACACCCACAGAGAGAGCTTTGGCTGAGCAGCTGAAGAATGGTAAGTTCTCAAGGTCCGTTGATAAGTCTCAAAGGAGAGGTAGTTATTATACACCAATTCCCCGTGTTATAAAGAACAAGGCAATTCATGGGCAAGAACTTACTTCTTTGAATCTTGACAAGGTATAGATTGCTACATGTTTGCCTACTGAACCTAACTTTTGTCACTGTTGTACTTTCTTGCTGATTTGTTCAATATTTTACTTATATGTTTTCAGACTCAGTTGTTGGAAAGCATACTAATAAATCACTATGGAGGTTCTGAAGACTTAATATTAGGCGAGCTGCAATTTGCATTTATTGCATTCCTGGTAGGATAGAACAAGATGACATGTCCCAATGTGCTTTTATTCACGTCTTTTCCTCTCTCTCTCTCTCTTCTCTTTTTTTTTTTATTTTTTTATTTTTTTTACGATACATCTGATCATATTGCAGAAAATTATCAGATTTATATGACGCCTGTAATTTTGTAGATGGGACAATCACTTGAAGCATTTCTACAATGGAAATCATTAGTTAGCCTCTTTCTGGGCTGTACAGAAGCTGTAAGTATTAATTTGTTTGCCAGTTTTACATTGTTTGAGGACCTCGCATTAGGTCACATAAATTTTGATGCTATAGTAAGTTAAAATTTTGACATGTTTCAATTAACATAAGGACCCAAGCATTCTTGTGTGGCACTTTGTAGATTGATAAGCGGGTTTGGTTTATTTTACAAGTGTTAGTTTTTTCCTGGAGAAGCAGTTGTGCATTTCACTATCTTCTTCTTTGAAACAGATCAGTTTATGCTTGTATTTATGTTATAAACTTTATTTCTCTGCAGCCTCTTCATACAAGGAGTCAACTATTTACCAAGGTAATTTTCAGATATGAACCTTAATATCTTAGATAGTCTTGCTTTTTTATTGAGACTGTGAATTGTTTTGATGTCGAATGCCACTCAATGAAGACTTTTGAGCAAATGTCATTGTCAACTTTGTAGATGACATCTTATGTTATGAATCTCTTCTATAAATTAAATACATTTTCTTGTATCATAGTTAATCCAATGATCCTGTCAATCTATTTTTATATATAATCACTTTTTTACTACTCTCAATTAGGACATAACCTTCATTAATTCATGTACCATGCAATGTTCAAAAAAGAAAGAAAAACAAATGAATTCATGCGCCTACAACTTATTTTTATTGCACCTTCAACTTTGGCATTGTTGCTTTTTATTGCAGTTGGTAGGCATTGGTCTTCATTGCACATGACCAACTTATTTGCCTACTCCCTATTGTCTTATATCTGTTTTGTTCCGTTTCTGTTTCTTTTCTAGATTATTTTCTTATTTGACTGGCATTTATAAATTACCTAACATTCTTGAGATGCTTCTTCTCTGCTTGTATTCTATTTGTTACTCATAATATACATATATATATATATATTATTTGCTGTGTTTTTTTCAGTGATATCTGAAATTTGTATAACATCTTGCAGTTTATTAAAGTTATCTATTATCAGCTCAAGTATGGATTTCAGAAAGAGCACACAAGTACTGGTGGTGCAGAAAAGGGCACATTAACATTGTTAGATGAGTCTTGGTTGTCTGATAGCTTTTTGCACCATCTTTGCAAGGTAGTCTTCTGGGGTGATTAAATTTTTTACTAAGACACTGGAAATTATTGGCAAATTCTAGTTCTCATGATTGCAATTTGCATCACTCTGCAGTGCCTTGAAACCGGTATAGTGCCACTTAAAAAAAACTCTCAGGAATTTTGTGACTTGATCTTCTACCAACTCATTAGTATTGAATTCGACCCTACCTTTGAATACTGACAATTTTCTGAAATACTGTTGGGTTAAAGAAACTAAATTATGAGTTGATATTGATCAGTCTAGCATATTCTGATAACTGAGTTATTATTACAGGATTTCTTTTCGTTGGTGCTAGAAGCCCCAGTTGTGAATGGAGATCTTTTGTCATGGGTTTGTATTCTAGACTTTTCTCTCTATGCTTCACTTTGAGCAGATTATTTTTCTTAATTTAAAAATTGTTTCAAATCTACCAAGAATTTGAACTCTCTTGCCTATTCTTCTATGACGAATGTTAAACAACCATATCCTAGGAAAATTAGACTTTCTGGGTTAACTTTTTTTTTTTCCAAAAAATAACTTTCTGGGTAACTTTACTTGAAGTAGATTCTAGAAAGACATGGTGTGGATTGTATAATCAAAGATGCATATACACGCGGGGGAAAAGTAAAACTTACAGTTGTCCACTTTTTTTTTTTTTCTTCCTTAAGGTAGTAAACATCATCCCTTATAACGTGGAGCAAAGTATTTGTTTTTAAAGCTTGTTTAATATATACTTGAACGAGTTAGGCACCATGTTGAGTTGAGATACATAACCAAATATGATCTATATTGTATTTCATATTTTCTTAGGATACTTTGCATTTATAAATTTAAAAAAATAAAATAAAATAAATAAAAACTATAATTATTGAAGAGTAATTTGCATGTTTCAGTTCTCTGTAATGTAAAATTTTATATTTACATTACCCAAAACTGGAGATCATAAATTGATGCATCACCCAAAACTGCTTGAAAGAAATTTGAAATATAATGAACAATTGATAGTTTTTTGAATGAGAATGTTTAGTTGTGAAATTCATCCACTTTCAGTCATGTTTCCGAAGTTGATTGTAGAATGCCCACAAAATAATGTTGTGTGGAGGAGTTGAGTTCAATTGTTCTATTTTTATAGACAAGGAAATTCAAAGAGCTGCTTGAGGACACTCTTGGATGGGACTTCCAGCAGAAAAATGCAGTAGATGGAATGTACTGCGAAGAGGATGATGAGGTCAGTGTGTAGTGTGCAAGAGCTGTTTTTGACCATCTTTACTTTCTCACATAATTCATGACTCTCTCTCTCTCTCTCTCTCTCAACTGCTAATTATCTTTCAATTTCTGCAGTTTGCTCCAGTTGTTGTGGTGTTAGACGATTGATCAAGGTCTAGCTGCCTAGACATGTGACAGAAGCCACGGACCTTATTGGCTTGGCCATCAGAAATTGTGGGACAGCATGGTTTTTGGAGTCTTCATGATCTCTGCTTTCAGCAACTCTAATGTGTAGCTAATTATGCTAACATGAGATGAGACATGATATCCTGTTATTTTCTCTAGATCATCGTACACCTTGTTCAAAAAGAACTTGAAAAAAAAAAAAAGGTTCTTCCTGTACCGTGAAATGTGATGTCATTGTCAACTCATAGAGAAAAAACTGTAGAAACATGTATATTTGAAATAATGAAAATGTATATGTTAATTGAGGGGGTTGAATCGTTGACACATATGAGGAGCTAGCTACTCACTGCAGAGGAACCCACACTAATGTCTGTTGTGGATCATGCCTACAGTAAGCAGTGAATAATTTTTGGAAGCATACATATTTTTACTGTTGATCTTGTTCTGCTTTATGTGGATACTGACTTTAGCCACATGTGTGATTCATGGTTTGGAAATTGGCAGCAGGAGTTCAGTTTTTTTTTTTCTTTTAGCGAGTAGTTAGGAAAAAATTATTTTTATAGAAAATTTATGCAGATACATGATAATGATATGGCAATGGCATTTTGCAATTAATAGTAATTTTGGTGAGGTTTTTTGTTTGTAAGTTGTGTGAGTTTAGAATGCAATCATATCATTTTGTACAGTTTTTTTTTTTTGGTGTACGCGCGTGTGTATATTTGTATAGTATCACTCTTTTTGTTATGTAGATGGACAGTGATTAATTAGCAACAAAGAGTTAAAGAAAGACTTGTAATATTTGGTTAAGGAAGAAAGTTTGTGTGCTGTTGGAATTATTTTCAAATAGATTGGAATTTTATAATTCGGGGGATGATTTTGTGGACATGTTTAATTACCTTGAAGGGAATTTGTAATTCTATTTATACTGTCCATTGTTGGTATCCCCTGCCCCATAATTTGTAATTTTATTTACTGTCCATTGTTGGTATCCCCAACTGACCCCATAAAGTGGCCTCCTTGTAGACCCGTTTAAAAATATATTTAAATTTGATTTATTTAAAATGGCAAATCGATTTCAAATTAATTTTTAATACTGTAAGTGAAATATGAGTTAAACAATTTAATTTGTATTATGATTAGGCTCAATTCCCAACTTTTATTCCCTTTCCTTCGTTTGGTTAATTTAGAGTAGAATTTCATTTGGCTAATTTAGGTTTCTTTTGGAAGTGTCAAAAAAGTAAATTTAATGGTTTATTGGCTTATTTGAATTTATATCATCATTTTACTTTTTGTATATTTTTTCATAATAAGTAAAACAATAAACTTTTGTACACTTCTCAAAAGGGTTAGTCTAATGTCTTTTCTAACTTTTAATGATGGAAGATCCATAATATATATTTTTTGTAACCTAAGGTCTTTCACCCATATAGCTTACTGTAATCTACTTGTCTGCACTTTTTGTACCTTTTTTCTTTTACATATTGTCGCTTTCTTTGTTGAACCAGGCAAGTCTTTTCTCTCGATCAACATGTTCACTTTTATCATAGCTCTGATTTAGCAATACTCAGAGCATTGAGAGAGGATGAGAGGCGTCAGAATGCTTCATTGGCGCCAAAGACATCAACAAGAGTGATGAAGGCCATGTGTGGTGTCTCGTTCAGTGGATTGGCTCCTGGTTGGACAGATCAAGTCCCTGATGATCGATCAATAGATCAATCAGCTTAGAAGTTTGAGACCATCTACCACCACAAATCACAATTAATAGAGACAATGATGTTCATTTTATATACTGTTATCAATCTTGTGTTACTTGGAGAAGTTGAACAATTAAATATAAATTTGCCTTATTTCTCCAAAAAATAAAATAAAAAAAATAAAATCCAAACACACACACTCAAATATATATATATGTAGTGTATGCAATTCTCCGATTCACACCTTGCACTTGAATTCTAGGGTTTATGTTTGCTCAATCCAAGCGAAGTTGAGAAGCATTCGAAGCCACATATATCTTCTAATTCTAGTTTGAAGAAGAAGACCATTTTCAATCCTCAACAAGACCTATGTTTGGAATCTTATTTGTTTGTTACTATTTCTCAACCAGAGCTATGTATATATTTATATTTTGTTCATTTGAGTTTGTTATTATACTCAATTTAATTACTCTAGTGGACAAACTCAGATTCAAGCATAAATTTGAGTAAGAACATTTTCAATCCTCAATCTCTTTTTGTATATGTGTTTATTGAAAGTTGCTTGAAATTTCTATGTGAAAAAATACACTTTTCTTTGGTTTGGTTAAAACACAAAGAAAAATTATTAGCAAATCAAAGAAAATTATGAGCAAATCACAGAGAAATTTATGAGCAAACTAGAGAAAATTCAACCCAGAAAAATTTTAAAACACAGAGAAAGTCAGAAAAATTGAACAAATTAGAGAAATTTCTTTGGATCAAAATTTCTCTAAAAAAATGTAAAGGGACCCCAATCACTATGAAAATATTGCATGTCCTTTATCCTATAAAATTTTAATACCAATAACCTTAAAAAAATTCTATTCTCAAAATAACCTTAGAATAAAAAGTTTAATGCAAAAATAACAATAATAATAATAATAATAATAATAAAGAGACATGCAAGCTTTAACAGGTGTGAATTCCCCAATTGAAGAGGCAAAAATAGTAGGGGATACATATCGGTGGACTTTTCAAAAAGTATTTATATATTCGTGGTATAGTTTATAACTTTACATTTTAATCCTTATAAAATTTATCATTAATAATATATATTAATTATTTTTTAAAATTTGGATTGATTTGATATTTTTTTTCAAAATGGTAAGGTCTCGTTTGTCAATTATATATTTTAGTCAAAAAGTTACTATAAATTGTCACATCATTCTTTTCGTAAAAAGTTAAAAAATTAATAAAATAATATGTTTTCAAAAAATTACATCACTCTGTATATTTTTTCGTAAAAAGTCAAAAAATTAATAAAATAATATATTTCTAAATGAGACCTAAGTACAAACTTTAGGAGCACCACAACACACAATTGACCGACCCAATCTGTTTCTTCACAAGACCAGAGTACCTAATAATTTTCGGAAGCTGTAAGGTCACGTTTGTTTGGCTTATTAAGAGTATGGTAAGATTGAATGAGAAGATTATTAGTAAGGTGGTACTAAGAGCTTGTTTGGGGTGTGCTATATAAGCACACTTTTTATCTTTTTTGGGTAACATCACCTTTCTACTTTTCTGCACATCTTTTTATAAAAAAGTAAAAAATGTACTTATTTAGATCATTCCAAACAACTCCTAAGTTAGAGATATACGATAAAGAGTGCTTGTTTGTATACCATATAAAATTAATCATTGTGTTTGGTTTCAATTTTCTAGAAATTGAGTTTTTTATTTTTTATATTTTTTTTAATTTTTAGTGAATATTTTTAAAATTTTAAGCAAATTTTTTTTTTTTACTTTTCTAGATGTACTTTACTTAGATGTATTTAAAAGGTAAAATATTTGTAAAAAATATTTTAAAAAATCAACAAATACACAAGAATAGGAAAAATATATTGAATTTTCATATATATATTTTTAATATTTTTGGTATTTAGTGAATATTTTTTTAAAAAATTCACAAATATTATACTCTTTAAGTATATTATGTTAGGTGTATCTAAAAATTAAAAAAAAATCAATAAAAATTAAAAAATACGAAAAATAAAAAATTTTAATTTTTTGAAAAGTAAATCCTAAAAATCCAAACCAAACAAGCTAATATAATATTTAAAATGTGTTTAAATGAGTTAATTTTAAATAAATTTTAATTACAATTAATTTGTTGGTTTTACCAACTGATTACCTTGGATGCAAGTGTGTGTGGTACAAACGATAACACATAATCTTATTTGGGTCACATTACTCTTTATTTAGATCACATTATCTCTCTATCATATCAATTTAACCCTAATTTATATTTCACACTTTTTTTAAAAAAAAAAATTAAAAAAAAAAATACTAATCTAAAACTTCTCAAATAACTCCTGAATATGACATGAGATATGCGAATGGGGGTATGGTTGGGAGCTGTTTTCATGTGTCCTTTTCACATTATTTAGGACGCAAAAAGCATGAGCATAAAAAATCATTGATTCAAGAGGATTCCTTGGACACCATTACTTCAACAGCAGCATGCCATAATAAACATTAAAGATAAGAAATCAAGGTCTTAATTCTTGGGACAGGTTTTTCTCTAATCCGTAATCAGATTAGAATGTACTATTGGGTTTGTAGGGGTTTATCAAAAGAAAATTGTGAGCAAATCACAGAGAAATTTATGAGCAAACTAGAGAAAATTCAACCCAGAAAAATTTTAAAACACAGAGAAAGTCAGAAAAATTGAACAAATTAAAGAAATTTCTCTTGATCAAAACTTCTCTAAAAAAATGTAAAGGGACCCCAATCATTATAAAAATATTGCATGTCCTTTATCCTATAAAATTTTAATACCAATAACCTTAAAAAAAAATTCTCTTCTCAAAATAACCCTTAGAATAAAAAGTTTAATGCAAAAATAACAATAATAATAATAATAATAATAATAATAAAGAGACATGCAAGCTTTAACAGGTGTGAATTCCCCAATTGAAGAGGCAAAAATAGTAGGGGATACATATCGGTGGACTTTTCAAAAAGTATTTATATATTCGTGGTATAGTTTATAACTTTACATTTTAATCCTTATAAAATTTATCATTAATAATATATATTAATTATTTTTTAAAATTTGGATTGATTTGATATTTTTTTTCAAAATGGTAAGGTCTCGTTTGTCAATTATATATTTTAGTCAAAAAGTTACTATAAATTGTCACATCATTCTTTTCGTAAAAAGTTAAAAAATTAATAAAATAATATGTTTTCAAAAAATTACATCACTATGTATATCTTTTCGTAAAAAGCCAAAAAATTAATAAAATAATATATTTCTAAATGAGACCTAAGTACAAACTTTAGGAGCACCACAACACACAATTGACCCGACCCAATCTGTTTCTTCACAAGATCGGAGTACCTAATAATTTTCGGAAGTTGTAAGGTCATGTTTGTTTGGCTTATTAAGAGTATGGTAAGATTGAATGAGAAGATTATTAGTAAGGTGGTACTAAGAGCTTGTTTGGGGTGTGCTATATAAGCACACTTTTTATCTTTTTTGGGTCACACCACCTTTCTACTTTTTTGCACATCTTTTTATAAAAAAGTAAAAAATGTACTTATTTAGATCATTCCAAACAACCCCTAAGTTAGAGATATACGATAAAGAGTGCTTGTTTGTATACTATATAAAATTAATCATTGTGTTTGGTTTCAATTTTCTAGAAATTGAGTTTTTTATTTTTTGTATTTTTTTAATTTTTAGTGAATATTTTTAAAATTTTAAGCAATTTTTTTTTTTTACTTTTCTAGATGTACTTTACTTAGATGTATTTAAAAGGTAAAATATTTGTAAAAAATATTTTAAAAATCAATAAATACACAAGAATACGAAAAATGTATTGAATTTTCATATATATTTTTTTAATATTTTTGGTATTTAGTGAATATTTTTTTTAAAAATTCACAAATATTATACTCTTTAAGTATATTTATGTTAGGTGTATTTAAAAATTAAAAAAAATCAATAAAAATTAAAAAATACGAAAAATAAAAAATTTTAATTTTTTGAAAAGTAAATCCTAAGTTATAAAACCAAACAAGCTAAATATTTTTAAATTTTTAATATTTTTTTAATATTATAATTATTTTTTTGTTCTAAAAAATATATTTTCCATTTAAAAATTATTTAAAAATTCACTAACTTCCTCATCCAATTTCTAATTCCAACATTCTCATAGCTTTACTAATAGGAAATGGGGTTACTATTGTACTAAAGACAAAGCAATGACTGTGGTGTCTCAATTTGAAATATATTATAAGTTTATTTTTATGAATTGAATCGTTTATTTTGTAGGGTTTGTTAAGTACTTCATGCCTACCAAAAATCATATTAATCGGATATCAATAACTATATGATCGATAATAAAAAAAAAACAAACAATAAGTTTTTCTTTTAAGAAATAGCATAAAAAATATGCAATTCAATCATATAGTTATTAATATCTGATTAATATTATTTTTGGTAGGCATGAAATACTCAACAAATCCTACAAAATGAATGATTCAAATCATAAAAATAAGTTCGTAATACACTTTAAATTAAGACAAAATAATCACTGTTGTGCGAAAGGCACAACAGTGACCCCATCCCCTCGCTAATCCTACCATTTGGGAAATTACTAATACCCAAGGTTTTAAAAAGTGATCGCAACTGTTACGTAACGGTTTTAGCGGTTACCGCTACCCGTTATGGTCGTTTTTGCAGTGTGATTGAGATTCACAGGTATGTTGGTCGTAGCAACTGCCATAGCGGTCGTAACGGTGCCGTAACGGCCTATTACGCACCGTCACGTAACGGTTCCAAACTGTTTCTTTCGAAAAAATACAAAAAAAAAAAAACTGAAAATGGGGAAAGAGAGAGAGAGAAGAGGGAAGATGAAGAACAAGTTATTGATTTGTTGAAACTGTAAGATTTATACTATTCTATTCAGCTGCTATCATTAAACCATTTTGTTTGTGTCTGTCTATCTACATATTATTTGAAAATAATAATAATAATAAGTATGGTCATTATCTATTTGGCTTAGTTAAAATATGTATATATATATATATATATATATATTTAGGCGCTTATTTATTCTCCTACTTTTATTATTGTTTATCTTTTATATAATAGTTAGTGATTGATTTTTTGTATAATATAAAGTCATTAATTATTAAAATAAAATGTAAAAAGCTGAATTTATAGTGATTTAAAAATATGAAATATATTGGATCATACTTAAAAATTTATAAAAATTTATCAATATTTATTTTTAACCTAATAAATATAATCATGGAAAAAAAATATGCCTATCGATAAGTTTTTTTCAAATTGTGCGAAAAATAAAAAAATTAACGGTTTCGATTACCGCAACTGTTATACTACGCCCTTTACACTCCGCAACCGCAACCGCATTACCGCCACCATTCCGGCGACTGCGACTGCTTTTCAAATCTTGTTAATACTCTTACTTATATTACTAACTAAATAGTTTTTAATGAGAAATTATTCAATAATTTTGAAATATCACTTGCCTATATTTTCTAATCAATTATATTCAATATGTTTCTTAATGTTTCTAATCACTCAATCTAATACTCTGTACCGATCTCTCCGCCAATCATAATATTGTAAAATACAGTATTCATTCTCCAACATTACTGAATATTTACTCCTCTTTAACTAGGTTTGACGGATTATTAGTTCAATTATGGCCTAAGAGTATGCGAGATGCACGAGCTAGATCGCATTTGAAGTTTGAGCCGTCTTCTTCTCCTTATCCCTCCTAAAAATGACTCAAAGGCTATCTTCCCGCCTTTCCATGTTTCTCTTCAAATTCACAAAAACCCATTTTCAAACCCCAAGATTTCTTTCTGGTTCACCTGTGATCACTTCAAGAAACCCTGTTAATTCTTTGCCTTTCCTCTTTTCCCAAGGTCCGTACTATCCACTTTCCACCGTCAAAATTATTGCTATTCATTTGTTTCATTTTTAATGTGCATTTGCATAATGGGTCTGCAGTTGTATTTCGTTTCATTGTGTTTCTGTGGAAGATAAGACACTTTAGCAGGTTGTGTCCGCAATGTGTACTATGTGTTTGTGAAAAGTCTTCACAGAAGACGCATATTAGTTTTTGCTATGCTTTTGATTGTGTGTTAAAGTTTTGAGGACGCAACGCATGTGTCAGTTAATATATCCAAAACTTTGGATTTGCAAGTGGTGAGATCAAAAGTAGAACATAGAATAGAAGCTTTTGACAAGTTGGATTTGGACATGGCTTCAAATCACTATTATCATGTAAAACCAAATTTTAGTGTTCTTCTCAATTAGCCATAATTATAATTTATATGCATGGTTTGCACAGACCTATGTAATGTGGACGGTTACGGGTGTTGGGTGCAACTTATGTGCCTAAGCGTTGGAAGCGTCTATAAGTGAAGGCAGCCAAGAGTCAATCAAGGCTTTAGTACTACACTACTTGGGGGGTAGTAGGCTGGAGTTATAGTTTGTATCTGTACCATACTACTTGGCTGTAGTAGGAAAGACTGTTCTATACATATATTTTAGCGAGTCACTGATAATGTGAGTCTTCTTATGATTCGTAATACAATAAGCCTCCTTCCATCCCTTCATCTCGCCACATGTCAAGAACACCAGCACATTCCTATATTTCATACTACTTAAATACTTTTTTTGTAATACCTTAACAAAAAAAATGATATTTAAAACTAAAATATAGCATTTTATGTATATAATAAAAGTCTTACACAGTTATATGAACTTGACTACTTATATATGCTTGTTGGGAGCATCTCTAATTAGGCATATCAGACACATCTTATGACTGCTTTTTAACTTCACAAATTTAAGAGAGTCCATGTAAATTATGCAGATATGCAATTTGCAGATATGCAATTTACTTGTTTTGAATTACAAAATATATGGAAGAACTCTCTATATATTTTTTTCCCTTATGTGGTGTGGTTGTGACAAAACTTTAGTTTTGGTTAAGTCAGTCCCCCGTTTCTATAAGTTCTTCCTCTTTGAGCTAAAAGCTATTCGGATATTCTAAATAATTTTCAGCATCACGATCATATGCTGGACGTGGACGTTCAGAATATGATCTCTTCGGCAATGGAAAACCAGGAGATGAGGAATTCAGGAAAGCGTGGCAGAAAGAGGTGGATGAAGACAATTGTCTCTGGACAGGAAGTGAAGATGAAAGCGATAGTGAACACGGTAGAAATCGCCTTGAAAAAGAAATCAGGAAAGTAAAACAACAGGCAAAGGATCACTCGGACCTCATTGATGGTGATGACAGTGATGAGTTAAGAAGTGTATGGTCTGGAAGTGACGAGGAAAAGACTTTGTGGACTGGTGATGAAGGTGATGATGATGACGATATTCCTACTGAAGCCTACCCAAATGAAAAAAGCGATGCGTATATTGATAAATTGTTTGAGTTTGAGGAAACACCAAAATATCGAACAATATCAGAACTATTGAAAGCTGAGAAGGAACCAGAAGAGTTATCCCCAGGAAAGCAAGCTAGAAAACTTGCGGTTGAGAATGCTCTGAAAAAACTAAAGAAGGGGCCAGATGGGCGTTACACTAATGTGTGGGAAGTCATGAGTGATTTAGACATTCTGATAGGAGCATTTGAAAATATTGTTTCAGGTCCAGAATATGCGGAGCTCAGACAGGGAGGAGCTAAGAAGTTAAATATTGAGTTCTTCAAGGATATACAAGCACGTATGCGAGATCCCAACTACAAGTTCTCGCCCGAGTTGAAGTTAAAACCAAAAAGCAAGTTGGTCCCTAAAAAGAAATGGCAGAAGGCAGAGTCTAGACGTAGGAAGGCACGGAAGAGGTAAATTGTATTTTTTTCTCCGTCAATGGTCATTGAAATCAAAGTATTCTGTATATTCTTTATCTTTTACTGGTGTTTCAAATGTCTGTATCTCCACATACTCTGTAGTTTTTTGTTGTTGTTGATAATATTGGCATGAACATGATTAGAGAGAATTTTTGTCATTGATAACTTGGCTTGCTGTTTCCATCTGATATTTTGTCACGAATCCAAAATTGGAAAAAGAATATTTAAAAAATTCTATGAAATAATAGGTGAAATTCACTATGCATGATGCTTGGGAAAGGTTAATCAGACGATGATGCTTCAACTTTACTCTTCTCCCTCACAAATTGGTCACAGATAAACAAAACCTGTGGACATGGTTGAAAAGATAGATCCCATGACAATCAATCTCTAATTGCAACTTGACTTTTGATTAAATATTGCTTGTGATTGATCCTTTCAAATCAATTAAATCCCAAAAACCAGTAATAAAGTCCTTAAAAAGTGATTCCTTTTGAAGAAGCTTCCTTCTAACACCAAGAAATTATTCCAAGACCAAAGAAAGTGGTGCTTCCAATAACCATCAATTCCCCCTCTTTGATGCTATCATGTAAATAATATATATGTTGCAAGTGAAACTTCACTTTCACTATTTTACCATTCTTTGATGTGACACGGGGTGTAGTTTTGGCCTGACACAGACAAATGGTTAGTTAACTTGATTATAACTTAATTTTATCTTAAGATATGATCAAACACAAAATTAATAAGATAAGAGGAAGGTTGTTATTGCCTCCTTAGATAGTAACTATGAATCCATGATCAAAAGGAATAATGAGGATAAGATTCATCTCCAAATTTGTGTTGATGTGTATATGGTTGTCACCATCATACAACTAATACTTCTGTTACATCAATCCTTTCTTTCTTTCTTTTTTCTTTTTATTTTTTTTTCAAATTAAAAACACACACACACACACACACACTTGAAAGCTTACTCTAACCTAGTTCAAGGGGGAAGGAGAGGAGGATGTTAAAGATTGAACCTAGTTAAATGAGCTGCAGCATAAGAGCCATAACCATCCATTTCAAATATGTACAAATCTTGCCATTTCTCCATAAGCATATCATATTGGTACACAATATTATAATTAACTCAAGTTTCTACAGTTTTAAGAATAACATAAATAGAAAAGTGTTCATAATCTTAAATTTACATCATAGATTTAAATTCTCAATATTTTGTGTGTATATATATGTTTTCTGAGTACATAACATTTTTGGTCTTATATCATTTTGATTGTGATTCTGTTGGGCACTGCGACCTTGGTGAACTTGGGACTACTTTTTTTTTTCTTTTTTTTTTTTAATTTTTTCTTAAAAAAAAAAATTCATCTTATCATGAAAAAGATCAAAACTCACAGTGCTGTGACCTAAGATGCTTTTTGGGCAGATTCCATCATTTAAGACCCTCAATTTGCTGATTTTGTCATTTTAAGAAAGTTTTATTTTTGTAATTACTCTATCCAAAGAACTCCATTTTGGTTGCCGTTATGTGTTTTGGTTTGTTTCTTTTAATTTTTTTATAAAAAATTGAGCTCAACTCAATTTTCTTTTGTCTTAATTTTTTTGATTTAATTTATTTTTGGCTTGATTAGCAAGCAAATGCCTTTTGTAGTTGTTTCTCAACTTGGAAGGGTTACTCTATTATTATAAAATTTGCTTGTAAGCATTTATGCTATTCAATTTTTAATGCTTGATAATATTTTTTTAAGAGAAAAGTTCTCTTATTAGCATTTTTGTGTCCTCTAAAAGGGTATTTAGTTTTATCCAATTCTCTTATTACAAGACAAAAAATAATAAAATCACATTAATAAATACAACGATTGCCTTTTATGTTTGATGGTAAGAAAATTGGGCAAAAATTTTCTTTTTATGCATGGTATTTTTCAACAAAAACACACACACACACATGCATTATGAGTCAAGTTTACTAAGTAACTTTGTAATAAATTGTAACATAGGTAGGTTAAGTAATCCAACATTCCAACTGATGAGTGAAATGTAATACTTCGAAAATTATTGGCTGGCATATAAAGCACAGCCATTTATTTATTTATTAATGTATGATACAATGAAACCCAATGAATTACAATCATAATGGAAATCAAATATAAAGTATAGTTAATACCAAAAAAAAAAAAAACTCGCGTTGGAGATCATGAAGAAACTATCCCAAAGTGTATGGTGATCATAATGGAAATCACAGAATCTCAAACAAATTAATGTAAATGGAAAGATCCAAACACTGACTTGCTAATAAGATACAAGAATTCTAGTCAACGAGCTAACTCACTCTGTTGATTTGTAAATATGACCTTGGTTGTAGGTAGGTTCTAAGCAAGAATATAATTCTACCACCACCACAACCTTTGAAAGTCTTTTAAAAAAAATAAAATAAAAGAATAAAACTTGCATCCCTTTCCACCCTTTGGAAAAGAATGAATCATGCTATGTCTTTGAACATTTTAGCATAGATTTGAAACCCTCACCCTGCCCGCCCAAACAAATAAAATAAAATCTACATATGTGTAACGAAAAGAAAATTATTGGTGGCGTGTGAGCTCATAATTGCGTCAAATTTGGAAGTATAGAAGAAAGCGGTAAGTTGAATGAACATTTTTGTCTATTAATTTTAGTTTAATTTTTGAAACGGTATTATCAATAAGATTAAATTGGCACAATATGAAAAACTCCAGAGTAAAATTGCTACAATTAGAATTACAAGAACCAAATTGGCATAACATGCAAACTATAGTGATCACAAGTATAATTTGCCCTAATTTTTCTTTTTTAGATAGTTTTGTTTTAGTAACGCATTTAGGTATGAATGTCTATTTTTAGTACCATTTGTTTTGACACGTTTCTTAAATTTTATAGTATCCAATTTGGGCCTAACTTAAATCTGTCAATTTTGATAATTTTCTGCTTACTTTTATTTTCATATCTATTAAGTAATTAGCATAACTAGCTATTTACTATTCAGGTTAGGAGTTCTATTATAAACAAGGACGTAAAATCTTGTGTTCCTCATTAGAAAGTCATGAGTTCGGTTACACATGTAACAAAATTTGGATCGAAAGCCTTAGGGCTATATGTCTTTTATTGAATTATTCTTGAGATTTTGCTCGGTAAGATTATTTTTATGATCTAATAGTTGTAATATTTTGAAACTAGTAGACAAGAAAATTTAGAGACAAATAATCTTGCTTTTCTTTTCTAAGCAATGGGTACATAAAACTTGTGACTAACCATTAACAAAGCAAATAATGGCAAGGCACATTCTTTATTTAATGCATAACATATAGAATTTACTCAACTCACTTTTTTTTTTTAACAAAAACATTATGTTCTCTCAAAAAGAGGAACAAAACCAGTTGATAATTTTTAACTACAGACACAAACATGATATGAATATTCCTCACATGACAGAACATGCATTAGGGTTATCATCACTGAACAGAGAGGTCAATCTCTCCTCTGGAGGGTTTGGGCCGGCAGCAGAGACGGTCTGTGCGACATTCCGAACGAAACCAGCTGGAGCCCTCTTGTCATAGACCTGAGAAGCATGAGGATAGTAAGCTACATTGTATGGGATGTATGGCCAGAACTCAGCTCTCTTCCCAGTTCTCTTTACTTTCATTAAGACCTTGTTTGGATCAACAAAGCCGCTTACTGTCACCCGGCTCTGCTTCCTGTTTAGATCCACAGATTTCACACCTATATATACATATATAAATCAATTGAAAGTGAGAGAGATAAAGTGAGAACTAGTATGTTTATGTTATGATAATATTTAGATGGAAAGAACTAGAAAGATCAAGAGAGCATGTGATTAGAAACAGGTTGAGGGTGTGAATGAAGGTCATGTTATGGCAAAGAAACATTAAATAAATGAATTAATAAATAAACAAAAACAAAGGGTTTAGGAGCTTTGCTACGTATCTTAATAATTTGGTGATGAAATTGCTATTATAATTAAATATTTAAATGTGTCAGAGAAAAAAAAAAAAGTATTTTCTCTACTGAAATTATTTAATTGTGCCATTGTGAGACTCACACCTTGTGTGAGGTGCATTGTACAACCATCCAATCTAGTACTCTTGAGAAAAGTAAGATTCCATAAAATACAATAACTAAAAATCACATTTAAAATACAAGTACCCATTTGTCTAATAATTTGCATGCAGTGCATTTTTTGTTTTTTATTTTTTGATTTTTCACTTATTTTTTCCCCATTCCTTAGAAAGTAATAGAAAAATTGCATTAAGGAGAGAAAGGGAGAGAGAGCTGCATGTATAGTTAAGAACCTTTCATGGAGGAAACAGCATTTTTAACTCTTCTTTCACAGCCATCACAGTCCATTTTCACTTTGATCTCAACTGTCTGAAAGAAAACACAACCCATCTATGAGAAAAAATGAAAGAGCAACATAAGAAAGTACAAATCAGAGAGAGAGAGAGAGAGAGAGAGAGAGAGAGAGTTCTTAAGGATTATACACATATCAAAGTAGCTAGTTAGATGTTGCAAGGAGAGAGATAATGAATACCTGCATTGGTTTGCGTTTGCTTCTTATGCTTGTGCTGGTGACGGTGCAAAAGTTGGACAGATACTCAAGGGCACCCATCTTCCTTCTCTTTCTTTCTCCTAAAGCAAAACACAGAGAGAGAGAGAGAGAGAGAGATGGGTGAGTGAGTGGTTAAGGTTATATCATCTACACTGTAATTAGACTTGTTGGTACTTGTATATATGTATATATAAGGTGTTTGTTGTTGAACTTTTGAAGAGATGTGTGAACAAGCTGTGTTATATGCTTATATAATGTGCCTTAAAATCATGACAGGGCATATAATGCTTTTGGATTTCTCACTTGTTTATGTTCATAAACTAATTAGAAATGTTGTGAAAAAAGTACTTTTATGTTTACTTTCATTTTGCTTCAATGTGTGTGGTGGTGCCTTTTGCTTTTCAATTGTTCATTAAAAAAAAAAATACCACAATAATAATGGCTCCAGTAGTTTGATTCCATTAACAGTTTGAAAATCAATGTTAACTTTTCTTTCTAAGTTCTGTTCCAGCTAAAATCATTTCTAATATTGGTTTCAATGTTTTAGGGCATGTCTGGAATTCCTTTTGATTTTTAATTACCCAATTCATTTCTATATCATCTTGAATACAACCATTTAAAAAAATGGTATATTTTGACTACCATTTTCAAACATGCCCTAGTTCTTTTCAGATTTTAGACAATCTTAGGCTGGCACCACCTTCATTCAAAAAAGCATGTTACATATGAGCCTCTATTGAGATATTATATATGAAAAATTTGAAAATGGATCACATTGCTTTCTAGCGACATAGTAAGAGTATCTGCAATTTCTTTTTTAACTGGACTTAGTTTACGAGAGAGAAATTGTGACTTATAAAGTAAATAAATTCATTCAAAAGGAAAATGGATCTCTTGTCTCCTTTTCTCCAATTCGTTTGTCCCATATCTATTTGCTACCACACGATCATATGGAAGATAGGAAATTCAGAACAAATGAAGAGGTGGGAAGGAAACAAATGAAGTTCAACCAATTCAAAAGGATAACATCCATAATTACATGTACTCAAACACCAATGTTCCATCACAATTCCTCAAGGCAAACTATAAAATCTAAAAAGAGAAAAAAAAATAAAAAAATAAAAAAATGAAGAAACCCTAGCAGACTAGCAAACATTGTCTATTTAATGTTTTCATTCACATGTGGTTGTCTTCTACAAACACTAGTAGAGACTCAGAGGTACCTCCTTTTTGTAATACTCTAAACGTTTGGTTAAAAAAAAAACAAAAAATCAACTTAATTGATTTTTACTTTATGTATTTAATTTCAAGTATTGAATTAAATTATCAAATAACCACCTCAGTAAGAGTGGATATATGCTTAACTTTTTTAGTTTAAAATGCCCTTAAAATTAAGCTTAAAATATATAGATTTCCTTTTTCTAACTTATAGTTTCTCTTTCTTCTAGGTCATACAAAAGAATGTCCACTGCTAAAATGCTCTTAAAAGGTGAATGTATGTAGATTTACTCATTTAATTCCTTTTTCACCATCAGAAATGAGAGGGAGATTCATAACCTAACATTGGGCCGAAGTTCCTTGCTCCGTCGAACATTAGGTGGGCACGGAAACAAGGGCTTAGTTCGGTCAATTTGGAATAACTTTAGACCGCTGGCTCGGTAGAGATGTGCGTTCTGTTGAATTGGACGGCGTTTAGTCCTCAGAAGATTAGATCGACCGAGCAGGAGCTCGGTCATGACTGAGGAAGCTCGGTTGAGTCCACGGTGAGGAACTATCAAGGAAACCAGACAAGTAGCACAGTTGTAAGGCGATGGCGTGGCTCCGCACTAAGTATAGCTCGGTAGGGAGTACTACAACTGCAAGAAGGAGATTCCGTTGTTCGTACACGTCGATATCGTTTGGTGGTTTCATTAGGTGGCGTTTAGCTGTATTAGTGCTGATACGTGGGGAAATGTAAGAGGAGAGCAGGTCCACGTGTCAAGAGGGGAATGGGCACAGAAGCACGCGCAGAAACTATATAAACGGCGCTGCGTCTCCATACTCAGGTCTGGAACATCCTCTGATCAGAGCTCATCTACCACTTTGTCTCCTCTCTTCTCTCTCTCTCTCTCTAAGTGTGCTAACTTGATCATTGAAGGGGTTTTCCAGCAAAATACCGCCCGGCGGCAGGGGGTAGGCATGGCGGAAATTGCACTGTCTTCCATCGAACCGAACGTTGAAGGCGGCGTGGAAATTGCGTGCCTGTCTATAGACCCATCACTTGAAGGCCCACCTCAGCCCAGCAATACGCCATTGGATTTGGAAATAATAGGACAACCTGTTGGATCCAACAGCGCATCGCCAAGAGAGGATGAAGGCATGTTTGTTGCAATCGTCAATGATGAGCTCGTCGCGGAAGTAGCCGAGTAGCCGAGCAATTCTGATTACTTGAACCTTCAAACGTCCCAGGACCCCGCAGAATGTTGGAAGCTTTTCATCGGCGAAATGTGGAAACTTTTTGTCGATGGCGCCTCAAACAAGTATGGAGTTGGGTTGGGAGTAGTTTTGACCTCCCCAAACGGACTGACCATTGAATCTTCCATCACACTGGGATTTCCTGCGTCAAACAATGAGGCTGAGTATGAAGCTCTACTAGCCGGACTAAAAAGCACACTTCAAATGCAAGCATCTGAGCTGATGGTCTACAGTGACTCCCAACTCGTTGTAAACCAAATATCTGGGGAATACGAAGCCAAAGATGACAAAATGACCAAGTACCAAGCTTTAGTAAGAGAGCAAATCAAGAAATTTCAAGCCATAAGAGTCCAATAAATTGGCCGAGAAGATAACGGCCGTGCAAATGAGTTGGCCGACTTAGCTTCCATGGTCGACAGACCAACCCCCAGCCCTCTCTCGATTGAATTCCTCCCAAGATCCAGCATTGAAGACTCAGAGCAGATGGAAGTTCTCTGCACCGAGCTAGGTCCTTTTTGGATGGACCCTATCATCCTTTTCCTTAAAGAAAGGATCCTGCCGATCGACAAGAAAGAGGCACACAAAATCCGAGTGAAGTCTAAGCGGTTTTGGCTCTTTCCATCTGGCGCTTTGTATAAAAAGTCATTCACCAGTCCATACCTCAAATGCGTTCACCCAAACCGAGTCGATGTTTTTCTTTTCGAGATCCATGAAGGAATGTATAGAAGCCATATCGGCGGGAGATCTTTAGCCTACCATGCTATTTCGCAAGGATATGCACAAAAATATGTGAGAAAATGCGAGAAGTGCCAGAAGTTCACCTACCAAATTCATCAACCAGCCAGAGAGCTCCTTCTTCTCACAAGTCCTTGGCCTTTCGCAATATGGGGGCTTGACATAGTGGGACCACTCCTAACCGCGTCGGGTAACCGCAAGTTCTTCATAGCGGCGACAAACTACTTCACCAAATGGATCGAAGCCAAGCCCTTGGCGACAATTAAAGAAAAGAATGCGAAGAAGTTTGTCTGGCAGAACGTGATAACGCAGTTCGGAGTCCCCAAGGCTTTGATCTTCGACAATGACACCCAATTTGATAGACGGTTATTCAGAGGATTCTGTGAGAAACTAAAGATAGAATTTTATAATTCCACACCGGCATATCCTCAGTCCAACGGCCAACTCGAAGCATCAAACAAGACCATTCTAGATGGACTGAAGAAAAGGTTAGAGAAAGCCAAAGTAAAGTGGGCCAAGGAACTTCCAAATGTCCTCTGGGCTTATCGAACAATACCAAGACGCTCGATCTAGGAGACGCCTTTCGCCTTGGTATATGGCATGGAAGCAGTCATCCCGTTGGAGATCGGTATGCTTACCATTTGCGGCAAAAATTTTGAGCCCGACTTGAACATCGAAGCTATTGCCTTAGAATTGGACCTTGTAGAAGAACGCCAAGAAAAGGCGCTGATCTATGTCGCAGCGTATCAACAAGAATTGTCCAGAAAGTATAACAAAACAATTCACCCCAAACCCTTCAAGGTCGGGGATTGGGTCTTAAGGAAAGTGATGGGTAACACTCTTATGTTGGGCGAAGGAAAACTAAGGGAAAACTGGGAAGGGCCTTACAAGAAAATCGGTCTGGCGGACAAAAGGACATACCATCTAGAAGACTTGGATGGCAAAGCTATATCCTGGCCATGGAACGCAGCCAATCTAAAGTTGTATTATTTTTAGTTTCAATCTTTAAATGTAATTTTTTGTAAGGAACAAACGCTCCCCTCCATTTACCAATATAATTCTTTCAGTCACCATGTGAATTTATGAAAGCTATATGTAATATAAATGAATTACTGTACATAGAAAATTTGTAGTGGTTAATGGATTGCAATGAACAAGGGGCAACTGTCTCCCAGCCGAGGTGATTTTACCCGGTCGAAAGAGTTGATGACTTATTCAACTCAAAGCTTTTAGCCGAGATGATCCTGCTCGGCCATTAAAGTTGATGAATTGTTCAACTTTAAGTTTATAGCCGAGATGATTTTGCTAGGCCATTAGAGTCGATGAATTGTTCGACTCTAAGGTTTTAGCCGAGATGATCCTGCTCGGCCATTAGAGTAGATGAATTGTTCAACTCTAAGCTTATAACCGAGATGATTTTGCTCGGCCATTAGAGTTGATGAATTGTTTGACTCTAAGCTTTTAGCCGAGATGTTCATGCTCTACCATTAGAGTTGATAAATTGTTCAACTCTAAGCTTTTAGCCGAGATGATCCTATTCAGCCATTAGAGTTGATGAATTGTTCAACTCCAAACTTTTAACCGAGATGATTTTGCTCGGCCCTTAGAGTTGATGAATTGTTCAACTCTAAGCTTTTAGCCGATATGATTTTGCTCGGTCTCTAAAGTTAATGAATTGTTCAACTCTAGGCTTTTAACTGGGATGATTTTGTCCGAATCAAGAGTTGATGACTTGTTCAACCCTAAACTTTTGGCTGAGATAGTTTTGCACGGTCTTTAAGAGTTAATGAATTGTTCAACTCTAGGCATTTAATCGAGATTGTTTTGCTCGGTCATCAACATTGGTGAACTGTTCAACTTTCATCAAACTTTTATTCAACTTCAAATGTCAAACTGAGGCATTTTGCTCAGTTAGACTTGTTTATGATTTGGCCAATTTCAAGTGTCACAATTTAAATGCCTAGCCGAGGACTTTTGCCCGGCTAACACGTAGTAAACTGTGTTCTACGACCAATAATGTTGATGTTTTGTTCAACTTTTATTGTGACCGAGAT